CATGTCTTAAAAATGTGTCTACTTTCCCAAGAAAGTAAATGAAGATAACAGTTCTCCATAAGAAAAAAGAAAGCTGTATAAAATATTGGAGTGAAGAAGGCAATTTGAATAAAATTCTATGCTAGAAACAGGAATGAATCACAGGATTTGCTATTTTCTGTTTATATTAATTGTAAACTATATCACATAGTGGATTCCAAACTGGGCTGCTAATCACAAGGTCAGCAGTCCAAATCTACCAGTTACTTAACAGAAGAAAGATGAGGCTTTCTGTTCCCGTCAAGATTTACAGCTCTAGAAACCCTACACAGGCCAACTCCATGGTATACCATCAACACCACATCTATCAGAACTTCAAATGCAAGCTTCAACTTTGGTATTTCATTTGTCAGAGCAAATTACAATGCTTGGAGAGCAGAAGGCCAAAATATACAAATTCTATTGCTAATATTAAAACTACTGCAGAAAAATTATAGAAATTATTGGTTCTGCTGTTAAGCACTGTCAAGTCAGCTCTAACTCAGTAATACTGTATAGGGTTTCCAAGGAGTGACTGGTGGGTTTGAACTGCAAAACTGCTTATTTTGCAGTTCAAACCCACCAGTGCTTATCCTACACCATCACACCAGGTCTCCACAGTGAATATTTATCATCCCTTTAAAATGTCAGAGAAGGTAATTTATTTATATTTTAAAATTGCTTTTTAAGTTTATATTTCAGATCATTTTTGTATGTTTTTCTCTCTTTATGGAATAGAAATATGACCAACCTTATTATATACACATTAGATGGCAAAATATAATTTTTGGTAACTGCATGTACTTTTTTCAAAGATTTAGTACTACTCAAGAAACAGTTATTGAATAAAGAAATGGTCAATCGATGAATAACAAACATTAACAACAAGTACTTTTAAAACAGGATTTCAAGAACAAACAAGATGGCGGATCGGGTGGACGTATAGCAGAGAGCTCCGCCAACAACAACACAGAATACCCGACCAAGCAGGCTCAGGGGATGGTCCCAGAACTCTG